GTGAGAACTATAAGGAACTTAGTGGGAAATGCAAAGAATTTAGTGGGAAGTATGTCAGCATGAAAAAGGACATAGAAACCTTGAATAAGAACCAGGTAGTAATGAAGAATACAGTATCTGAAATGAAGAACACACCAGAAGGAATTAAAAACAGAACAGATAAAGCAGAAGATCAAATCAGTGAGTTGGAAGACAAAGAGAAAAAAACACCCATTCAGAGCAACAAAATGAAAAAAGAATGAGGATAGTTTAAGGGAGCTTTGGGAAAACATGAAATGCAACAATATTCACATCACAGGGATACCAGAAGGAGAAGAAAGGGAGCAAGATATAGAAAACCTGCTTGAAAAAATTACAGAAAACTTTCCTAACTTGGTGAAGGAAAAAGTCATGCAAGTTCAGGGATCACAGAGGGTACCAATGAAGATGAACCAAAGAAGCACACTCCAAGACACATCACAATTAAAATGGCGAAATTTGAAATAAAGAGAGAATCTTAAAGGCAGCAGGGAGAAACAATAACATACAAAGAAGTTCTGACAAGGCTATCAGCTCATTTCTCAACAGAAACCCTACAAGCCAGAAGGGACAAGCATGAAATATTCCAAGTAATGAAAAGCAATGACCTAGAACCAAGACTACTCTGTCCAGCAAGGCTCTCAATTAAAATGGATGGCAAAATAGAACTTCCCAGATAAAAGAAAAGGTTAAAGGAGTACATTTGCACCAACTAGCATTTCAAGAGATACTAAAGGGACTGTTTAAGAAGAAGAAATATATAGAGAGAAACAGGTACAAAGGGAGAAACAGCAATGAATAAGTACCTATCAATAATAACTTAAATATTAGTGGATTAAATGCTCTATTCAAAAGACATAGGGTAACTGAATGGCTAAGAAAATATGGCCCATATATATACTGTCTACAAGAGACTCACTTCAGAACAAAAGATTTACACAGGCTGAAAGTGAAGGGATGGAAAAAATATTCTGTGCAAATGAACATAAAAAAAACCCTGGGAACTGGGGTACCAATACTTATATCAGACTAAATAGACTTCAAAAAAAAAAAAAGAGACCATAACAGGGCCAAAGATGGTCACTACATAATACTTAATGGAGTAGTCCAATCAGAGGATATAACCCTTTGTGTTTACATATGCAACTAATATAGGAACACCTAAATATATAAAGAATATCTTGGAAAACTTTAAGAAAGAGATCAACAGGAATACATCCATTGTAGGGGATTTTTAACACCCCCACCATCAGCAGTGGACAGATCTTCCAGACAAAGAATCAATAAGGTTATAGAGGTACTAAATGACATTCTCAATCAAATAGACTTAATTGATATTTACAGAACATTTTACCCCAAAGGTGCAAATATACATTCTTCTGGAATGTACAGGGATCATTTTTAAAGATAGACTATATGGTAAGGACACAAATACACCTTAACACATTTAAGAAAATTGAAATTACATCCAGCAGCTTCTTGGATCACAATGGCTTGAAACTAGAAACGAACCTCAAGGGAAAACTAAAAAAAATATTCAAATATGTGAAGGCTGAACAACATGTTATTAAATAATGAATGGGTTGACAATGAGATCAAAGAAGAAATAAAAAAGTATCTGGTAACAAATGAAAATGAATACACAACAACCCCAAACTTATGGGACACAGCAAAAACAGTTCCAAGAGAGAATTTCATAGCATTACAGGTCAACCTAAAGAAGATAGAAAAAGATCTCAAATAAACAGTCTAATCTGATATATAAAAGAACTACAGAAACAACAACAAACAAAGCCCAGAGTGAGTAAAAGGAGGGAAAGAATCAAGATCAGAGAAGCATTAAATGAAATAGAGACTAAAAAGCAATGAAAAGGATCAATGAATCCAAGAGCCAATTCTTTGAAAAGATAAACAAAATCAACAAACCTTTAACCAGGCTCATCAAGAAAAACAGAGATGCCCCAAATCAATAAAATCAGAAATTAAAAAAAAGTAACAACTGATACCACAGAAAAACAAAGCATTGTAAGAAATTACTACAAACAAGTACATGCCAAGAAATTTGACAATCTGGGTAAAATGGATAAATTTATAAAAGTGTACAATTTCCCAAAAGAATCAAGAAGTAGAACACCTGAACAGACTAATAACAACTAGTGAAACTGAAGTGGTAATCAAAAAACTACTGGCCCACAAAAGCCCTGAAACAGATAGCTTCACAGGAGAATTGTACCAAACACTCAAAGAAAAACTGACACCTATCCTCAAACTATTCTAAATAATTCAGGAGGAGGGAAGACTCCCAAACTCTTTTTACAAGGGCAGTATTATCCTAATCCCAAACCAGGTAAAGACACAACCAAGAAAGAACACTATAGGCTAATATCTCTGATGAACATAGATCATAATATCCCCAACAAAATTTTAGCAAACCCGATCCAGCAATACATTAAAAAGTTGATCAAGTTGGATTTATTCCAGGAGTGCAAGGATGGTACAATATTTGCAAATCAATAAATGTGATACATCACATAAATAAAATGAAAGCCAAAAATCAAATGATTATATCAATAGATGAAGAAAAAGCATTTGATAAACTCCCATACCCATTTGTGAGAAAACGCTCAGTAAAGTGGGAACAGAGGGATTATACCCCAATATAATAAAGTCTATATATGAAAAACCTACTGCCAACATCATACTTGATGGGCAAAAACTAAAAGCATTTACCTTAAGATCAGGAATAAGACAAGAGTATCTGCTTTCACCACTCTTATTCAACATAGTACTGGAAGTCCTAGCCACAAGGATCAGACAAGAAGAAGAAATAAAAGGCATCCAAATTAAAAAGGAGGAATTAAAAGTGTTATTATCCACAGATGACTTAATAGTGTACACAGAAAACCTTTAGTGTAGGAGACCGTTCTGTGTGGTGTGGGCCCAGCTCCCACTCGGAGATGCACAGGACCCACGCCCACAGATAGGTTCTCCCCTGGGGAATCAGGACTGCAATGTGCCTAGGCCACTTTGAGTCTCGCTTTTGCTAAAAAAACTCCCTCACCCTGATTTGTAACATTTACTGCAACGTAACTTCCTAAAATCCATGCTAAACCTTCCAAGGATGACTGTAATGGGTTCAACTACTTTTCCCTTTTCATTTGCAAATATCTTTCTTCTGCGATGTGATTAGCAGCATCAGCTCTTTTGTTTTCTGTAAAAGGTAACCACCTAAAGCCAACCTGTGCATAGTAAATGAGGTCCATCATGTAATGTGCCCCCAAAAAGAAATTAATGCCTATCATGGCAGAGGCCACAGCTTTTGACTCCTATTGAGAGTGAAGCCGTCCACCCTTTTCCTCCCAGGGCTTGTAGTCCGTGTGAATGTCTTTACCCCATCCACAATGTCACAGACCCCACAAGCTGGGGTCCACATCACTGTAGGTTCCACCAAAAACTATTTGACCTAATAAGTGAGTTTGGCAAAATAGCAAAATACAAACACAATATTTAGAAATTGATGACATTTTTGTACAAGAACAATAAACTATCAGAAAAAGAAACTAAAAAAAATCCTATTTGCTATAGCAATAAAAAGTACCCAGGAATATATTAACTGAAGGAGGTAAAAGACTAGTACTCAGAAGACTATAGAACCCTGAAGAAAGAAATTAAGGAAGATACAACTAAATGGAATACAACTACATGCTCATGGATTGGAAGAATTAACATCATTAATATGTCCATTCTACCCAAAGCAATCTATGGTTTCAACACAATTCCTATTAAAATACCAGTGGCATATTTCACTGATCTAGAACAAATACTCCAAAAAAATATGGAACAGACTCCAAATAGCCTCAGCAATCTTGATAAAGAAGAACGAAGCTGGAGGAATCATAATACTGATATCAAAATATACTAAAAGGACACTGTAATCAAAATAGTCTGGTACAGGCATAAAAACAGACATATAGATCAACAGAACACAATAAAAGGCCCAGAAATAAACCCATGTCTTCATGGTCAATTAATATTTGAAAAAGGGGGCAATAGCATGGAATGGAGTAAAGATAGTCTAATAAATGGTATTGGGACAACTCAACTGGTACATGGGAAAACAAATGAAAGTATACCACTAACTTCCACCATATACCAAAATAAACTGAAAATGGATAAAAGACTTAAGTATGTCATGACACCATAAAAATCCTATAGGAAAAAATAGGCAATAAAATTTCAGCTATGTCACATAGAAATATTTTCCCTGGTATATCTCCTAAGGCAAGGGAAATAAAAGAAAAAAAAATAAACAAATTGGACTACATGAAACTAAAAAGCTTCTGCATGGCTAAAGAAACCATTATCAAAATGAAAAGGGAACTAACTATCGGAGAACATATTTTCATATTTTGCTAACAATAAATTGGACAAGGACTTAATCCAAAATATACAAAGAACTCATTTGACTCAACACGTGGAAGACAGACAATCCAATTAAAAAATGGGCAAAGGACCTGAATAGACACTTCTCCAAGGAGGACACACAGATGGCCCAAAGACGTGAAAAATTGCTCAACATCACTAGCCATTAGAGAGACGCAAATTAATATTCTTTGAAGAACATTCAATGGTTTTCTTCTTGAAGAAATAGAAATCATGATAGTTTTTTAAAGACCTCACTTAAAAAAAAGAGACAAGAGAAAAGTACGAACTTAATATAGGTGCATTAAGTGTTGTTTGTTTACTGGCCCAACAAATACAAACACCAAGGTCATTCCTCCAAGGCAGAGGTCTCCAGTGAGGGACAGGAATTACACAAGAAAGTCAATTTGGGGGTGAGAAGAAAGTATCGGAAACTACCTCTCTGTACACTTTTCTTTAAATAAAAAAGAATGACTGTTTTCTTATCTTTAATTGCAGAACAGCAGTGTTACCCTCCAAAGGTTCCTGTCAGATGGTCCCTATCACATGGGGTTCATGAGTCCTCCAAAGGGAAGAGGACATTGGAAAAGCTCATCTGCCATGAGTCCTGAGCATGCCTGCCCATTCTGGCTGGATGTGACAAGAATACAGGGCCTAGATTGTACATTACATAGGCATTTCTCAGGGTTGTATGTGCAGCAACAGGTAGGTCATACGTGTCTCTCAGCTGAATGATAAATTGATCCTAGAGCCCATGTAGAACAGTGTGGCCAGAAATAGAGCCACGTCTGTGGGCATGTCCTTAGGTCCAAACTGCCCTCCCCAACAAGGGATAAAGCTGTGCTGAGACCCCAGGTGTCCGATGTCTAGTTCCAAGATTCAGGCTGGAGCAGGTCCAGGGGCCTGCAGGGGAAAGCCCAGTCCAGGCTAGTTCCCAGCATGGTCCTGCCTAGATGTGCAGGGCCCAGCCTGAGGGCCACCAAGACCTTGTGCTTTTTCATTGTGTAATCACTACCACAATCAATATATAAAAGATTTCTATAACTCAGAAAGCTGCCTCAGGCCCATTTGTGATCAAATCCCCACCTCACTACAAAAGCAAACCAATGATTTTCTCTGAGTGACTATAATTTTCCTCTTCTCAAATTTTATGTAAATAGAATCTTACAGTGTATACTCAGTGCCTATTTTTCTCTTATTCACCATGTTTTGAGATTCAACTATGTTGTTGTGTTTATTAACATTCCATTCCCTTTTATGTAATAAGGATATACTAAAATGTATTTATTCATTTACCTGTTGATGAACATTTGAGTTGTTTCCAGTTTGGGACAATTATGAATAAAGTCATTGCCATGAACATTCATATACAAATTTGGTATAAACATAGGTCTTTATTACTGTTATATAACTTCCTAGGAGTGAGATTTTTGGGTTGTATGATAAATCACTGCCAAAATATTTTCCAAAGTAGTACATCATTTTACATTTTCATCAGCAGTTGATGAAAGTTCTAGTTGTTTCACATCCTTAACATTTGGTGCAATCAGTTTTTTAGATTTTAGTAATTCTAGTGGCTGTGATGTTATTTTCATTGTTTTAATTTTTCTTTTTTGACCAATGATGCTGAACTGTTTTTCAAGTGCTTATTGATAATTCATATATCTTCTTTGGTGAAGTATCTTACTAAATTTTTTGCCCAATATAATTGAATTGTTTGTCTATTAAATTATAAGAGTTCTTTATGTACCTGTAATGTTTGAGTAAAAGCTAAGAGGAAAAGCAAATTTGGCTGTGTTACCCTAGACAGAAAGCCCTGGAGAGTCTCTCCCATTGGCCAAGATAGAGCAGGGGGATGTATTTAACACTGAGCTTACCAAAAGCTAGAAAGAGGAATGGACAGGGCCCCAGTGCACCAAAAGCTAGTAAGATAATTTGGTCAAAAAAGGCCTCCCCATCTACACCTACAGGAACCAGGGCTTGAGCAGGAAGGAGGTGGTTGGTCTTTGAAATGGGAGTCCACCATTCTCCCAGGTTGCAGGACCTGAGTAAAAATCTCTTTCCTTTTGTATTAGCACCTGTATCAAAAGTTTGGCTTTTGTTAGGGCAGGCAGTTGAACCTGTGTTTTCATTTACATCTGAATTGCATCAAGGGGGAAGAACGGTGAGGCAAGAGAGACATGGAGAAGGGAGGACTTTGAGGCACAGGTAAGACTATGGATTTATTATACTTAAGTGGAATGCTAATATATGATTTTGAGTAGGGAGTTTTAAATCAGGCTTGCATTTAAGGGATCATTTTGGCAGCTCTGTGAATGAGCCAGGGGAACTGGAATGACCCTGGATTGACTGGATTGACTAGGAGGTTTAGTTGGGGGGAAGAGAGAGAGAGAGAGAGAGAGAGAGAGAGAGAGAGAGAGAGAGAGGGAGGGAGGGAGGGAGGGAGGGAGGGAGGGAGAGAGAGAGAGAGAGAGAGAGGGAGAGAGGGAGAGAGAGGAGGGAGGGGGAGAGAGAGGAGGGAGGGGGAGAGAGAGAGAGGAGTGTGGTAGGGAGGGGGGAGAGACAGTCACACAGGGGGAGAGGGACAAGTGCATATTGCAAGGAAACTCGACGATGTTTTCTGTGAGCAGAACACCAAGAGATGTGTACTATGTTCTTTTCTTTCTCAAGTTAGATTTATCACTTCATAAATTTTGCTTACCTTATCCAAAATGAACTAGTGTTTTTTCTTATTTTCTTATAGTCAGAAAGAGCAAGAATTATTTCTTGAAAATTTAAATGTCTCACAACCATTCAAGTACTATATTTAGTACATGTTTCTTTTCTATTATTTGTATATCTTGAAAACGTACCAATATTACTATCTTACACAAGGAGGCACCAAATAAAAATGTATTCTTTGAAGCACTGGACTATAAGTTATAAGGGACAAAGGCCACATTTTCAAAGTTCTGTTTCTCCAGCACCCAGCTGAATGGTGGTGTGATAATGGGATGACAGTGACAATGTGGACAGCTTCAGTGGTGATGAGATGACTGCTGACATGCACTGAGTTTTTCTCTAAGCCATTTGATTTAATCCCCAGAATGTGAAAATTTCTCTAAAGAGGTTTATGTGTTTTTTACATTAAAATGTAATCTTAAGAAGATACCAAATTATATTAAATTAAAAATACTTACAACTTTTTAAAAGGTTTCCATGAATAAATATAACATGCATCTTGTTACTGAGGAGAAAAGGCATCATTTTATGCCACCAAAAGTTGATGGATCTCTTTTAATAATGTTGACTAAAAAGTGTATTTATTTAGTATTCATTGTATATATACTTACTGTGCATATTTTTAGCATTTGCCATCTTGCTTAATAAACCTCTGGTTTCTCTTAAAAAGTGTTTCCCAAAGTTTTTTGGATTTCTCCACAAAGCAAAACAAAACAAAGTATTGGAACTCAAATAGGTTTAGGAAATAGAAGGTGGGGTAAAAGTAGGTTTACAGTTGTGAGTATGTGAAACACAGAGTATATTCTTGTATTATCATTTATTAATTATTGTATTATTTTCCATATGAACAATTCTAAACCTACTTTGCCCCATCCTATTTTATAACACATATGTCCATCTTACATAGCATAAAGCCTCCCACAATTTCTAGTCTAAAAAAATAAATAAAACATTAACTTATTGCATTGCTTAACCCAAAGTTTTCCATAGAATCTTTTGACAAAACAATATTTTTATCACCTACTTTGATACTGCTCTATAAGATCATAGCACAGCATCATCAGATTACTGTGACCTATTAATTGGAAGAAGGTCATAGAATAGAAAATTTATAGCAGGGTAAGGAAAATCAATGAAAATATAAGAATGTTTACTTTTTGGATTGTAGACAGTTTTCAGATTATGTTTTTTATATTAAAAAATTATTTGTTGGTTTATTTATTTATTTATTTATTTATTTATTTACTTTTAGAGAGGGGAAGGGAAAGAAGAGAAAGGGAGGGAGAGAAACACTGTGTGGTTGCCTCTTCTGTGCCCCATACTGGGGATCTGACCTGAAACCCAGGCATGAACCTTGACTGGGTATTGGACCAGTGACCCTTTGGTTCACAGGTCAGCATTCAATCTACTGAGCCACACCAGCCAGGGCACAGATTATGGTAGTTTCAAATAAGCAAGTCTACACTCATTTCATATAAAAATTGTACTTTTAAGCCATTTCTAAGACAATTATTATCATGAGATCAGTGCAATGAATGTGTGTTACACTGGGGATTAAGACATTAGGATTTTAAGGCTCCCTCAGATTGGAGGATTGATTGGAAATTCCTTATGTCTTTGAGATGAATTGAATCTGTGCCCTACCAAGCCTCAGGGGCTTTGCTTCTCAGTGTGATGTAGAGTTACCAGCTGCCATTGCTTAGTTCTTAGGTCATTGTGACCTCTAGTCAAGTCTCTCCAACAGCTTCAGTTCACTATAAAACTAAGCTGGACTGCTACTATGGCTGCATTGTGTTCCTTTCCAGATTCCATATGTTGGAAGTCCTAAATTCCAGGACCTCAGAATGTGACTGTATTTAGAAACAGAGCCTTAAAAGAGGTACTTAAGGTAAAATGAGGTCATGTAGGTAGGCTCTAGTCCAATATGACTGGTGTTCTTATAAGAGGAGGAGATTAAGACACAGACACACACAGACTGAAGGCCAACCATGTGAGGACATAAAAGGTGGCCATCTGCAAGCAAAGGACAGAGAATTCAAAGAAACTAAACCTGCAGGCATCTTCATCTTGATCTAGCCTCTAAAACTGCGGGAAAATATATTTCAATTGTTTAAGCCACTCAGTCTGTGGTATTTTGTTATGGCAGCCCTAGCAAACCAATATGACCACTCTTGGGTGGAAGATCGCATGCTTTGTTATTCAAGAAGGATGATTTTAACACTTGTTACTTCTACCTTGAAATTATAAAAGGCAGTGATAGGCATTACTGTAGAGTGTGTGAATTGTGTTTTGTGTAACAAAGGTTAGTTAATAAACACCACTCAGCTATATATGACAGTGTGTGAACATCTGGACAGCAAGGGGGCAGGAGTGGAAGGAAGGATTTGCCTTTAGCCAAACAGTTTACTGGGTTGCCCTGAGCCTGACAGTGAGGGCCACAGCTTGGGGACTGGGATGGTAACAGCCATACAAAACCTGGGGAGACCTGAACAAAGTCGTGAAAGGATAATTTTACCAGCCAGGCACAGATGCATCATTTCCTCCCATCACTGCTGTTTTGTGAAAAATTCTTCCACATACATGTTTTTGTCCCAAAATACACTGTTGGATATTTTCTACTAGGAAGTTTGTAGGAAATATATTTTTCTAGCATCTTGACTGGATACACTTTCATGGTTGCAAAGTCACTCAGAAAATTCATTCTTCTCATACCTCTCCTCCACCAATGTCCCTTAAAATGTTGTCTGGCCCACAAATATCAAGGAATTCACCACCCAGGTAAACAAGTGCTTGAATGTGATTTAATACTCTGCATCTTCTCCCTGGTGCCCCAGTGAAATGTGGTCACCTCTCAGGGTAAAAGCATCTCTGTGAGGGCCCTTGTAAGGTATTAGCTATTCTAAATTCTGGGGACATTCTGACATGCTGGTTTCTCTGAAGTACCTAGTAGTCATCACCTATACACAGAAATTGTTCTGACAAACTTCATCTTAATGATTTGGCTTTTAATTCTAATTTGTTTCTGTTCCTAAGCTTATACGGCTTTTTAACCAATATATGAAAAATAGCTTCAAAAAAATAAGGTGACCCTCAGCTATAACAATTTTTAATCTAATAAGTCCTTAAGACTGATGTTTTCTAAGGAAAAAGCTCTCTTCTTTGCTGTGAAATAATAGAGGTTTGATATAAAAATAAGTATAAAAGTGAAAAACATAACAAAAATATTGGTATCTTCGCAGCTGAATTCTTTCTTAGAGATTTTATTTATTTATTTTTAGAAATAGGGTAAGGGAAGGAGAAAGAAAGGGAAAAAAATCTATGTGTGAGAGAAATATCACTTGGTTGCCTCTTGCACACATACTGCAATTAGGGGCCTAGTCTGAAACCCAGGCATGTCCTGACTGGGAATCGAATGGACTACCTTTTGCTTTTGCTTTGTGGGATGACACTCAACAAAGTGAGGCACAGCAGTCAGGGCCACACCTGAATTCTTAACACATTTTCTGATTATAAATATATATATATATACACACACACAAATTTGAGATAAGTTCCAATATTTAAAAAATAACAGCAACTTCATAAAATGAGAAAATAACATTTTATACAATGAACATTTATAAAATATACTTTCATAAAATTTGTGAATTCAGCCCTGGCTGGGTAGACCAGTTGATTGGAGTGTTGTCTGATATACCAAAAGGCTGTGGGTTTGATTCCTGGTCAGGGCACATGTCTAGGTTGTGGTTCAGCCCCCAATTAGGGTGCATACAGGAGGCAATGGATGGATGTTTCTCTCTTGCATCTCCATGTTTCTCTCTCCCTCTCTCTTTCTTTTCCTTTCTCTCTCTCTCCTTCTCTCTCTTCCCCTCTCTCTAAATCAATAAACATATCCTTGGGTGAAGATTTAATTTTTTTTTTTTATAAATCTAGGCAACAAATGACTTGCTCAAATAACAGAACTAGTAGGTGGCATCCAGGGGCTACATTCTACAAAATAAATTTATTGACACTGTCAGTAGGTATATAAAGTTGAGGTAGAAATAAAAAAGGGCAGTGATCTTCCCCCTGAAGTTTAAGAGTGATATCTGAACTAGGGATTGTTGAGTTGAGGTGAAGACAAATGGTAGAGATTGTGAGATCACAGGGAGTACATGGAGTCAATTCCAGCTTTTGGACCAAGAGAAGGAAGGAAGAGCTGCAGCTATCATTACTACAGTGAACGAGGATGAGAAATTCTAAAATTTGCTGAATTTCCCCAGATCCAGGGAGCCAGCTAACAGACAAAAATACTTAGAACCAGAGCATTGTGTTACCAATATTTTCTATAAAAGATGTTAACATGTCCTAAAACCTCATCTTATTTTACAGCTTTATGGAAGTTCCATCAGTACCACTTGCATGTTTGTGGGATGACTTGGCTGTGGAAGGTATGGAGTATGTATCCCTGGGGAAGTGGCTCTTGTGGTCACTGGAACTGTGGACATCAGCTGGGTGAAGACTGGGGGGTTGCTGGCAGACCTGAGCAAGGAGGACAGTTTTGCTCATTTGGGAAATGCAATAATTCAAGTGTTCAAGGGCACAATCATATAGACTGATCCTGTTCCAGGAATGGCCATGAATCTGCCTGACCTTAAAGATGTGGCCACAGCTATGAAACCCCTGTGTCATTTGAAATCTGAGCCTTCCCTACTGGGGTCATGATGTGAGCACTACGGAGAGTGTAGCTATATGTATCTGGGAAACGGGAAATTTTTTTGTTGGATTTTGTTATAAGTGTATGAAACTGAAGATAATATTGTAACCTATCAAGGGGAGTCACTCTTAGGATTAATAGTGTAGACAGTGACTTTGGAAATGATCTCTACCCCTTGGAGTATTAAGAAATCATCACATAATTGCCTCCCCCCACACTGTGTTCTACAGTACCCATTTTATTGAAATCAATGTGAAATTTGTTTTAAATAAAATTTTATTTTCAATAAAAATTTGTAATATATCCCTAATCATGTAGAGATTCTTTTGTCCATAGATTAAAAGTTTTTAGCAAATGTTTTGATATAAATTAAAAAATACATAAAGCATATTTGTTTGCATTTTCTCTAATTTTTGATACCTACTTTTGTTCATATATAAATGGTAAAAATTGTACAGTTTGCACTAGGTACATCTTATTAAAAATAAAATTAAAATGAACATAAAGCCTGGAAATATTAATATCTTTTAAATAGATTGACTCTTCTTGTTTTCTTTCCTTTTTTAAAAAATTTAATTTTTTTCATTACTATTTATCCCTCCTATAACCTCTTCCACCTCCACCCACCTCAATCACTACACTGCTGTCCATGTCCATGGATCCACCTTTTTTTCTTATTCATGGGAAAATGTGCAAGTTTATTCCATGAAAATTAGATGTACAAATTATCTGAGGCAATGTATGATAGGTAAATGTGCAGTGATTGATGGGAATGTTATTATAAAGCACATTGTTCATTAAAACTTTGCACAGCTTATCAAACTATGAAGTGCTATAGAACAACACATTCAACATGTTGTAGTAATAACTACTTATTATGGGCATTTTCCATGTTTTCAGACTTTCTGGCCACCCTGAGCCCCCTTTAATTCAAAAGACTAAAGAATAATCACTTATTTTAACCCCATCAACTTGAAAAAGATATTTTCCTCTATGATCTTCTCCCTACTTGATCCTACTTTGTTCTGATTAATAAACTCAACCAGCATATGTTACACTATAAAAAAGATTTGATGGAATAGTAGATGATATCCATGACCATATTCTATTGCTTTATGATTCAATGACATAAAGAGTAGAATAATTGATAGCTATACTTTTGCTAATTATGGAAACAGGAAAAATGATCTTTCTGTTAAAATAAATAGGCCAAAGAACCCTGGTGTCAGCCCTGCTCCTCTTAGAGAAAGAAGTATGATGCTGTCATCCCTGTGGAGAAGCTGGGAGACTTAACTAGTGATACACGACAACTGTCATTAAAAGAGACTTCACCAAGGCAAGGCCAACAGGTCTTATCTGATGTAGTTTTACTGACATGAACCCTTTGGAAAGTGCTGATATATAATATGTGAGGCTTTTTATTATTTATTATTATTATACAAAATTTGATGAAATGTGTACTTCCTTCAATTCAGATGTTAAAATAGCCCTTCCTTAGTAATTTCATTAGGCTATAAGTATCTCAAGCATGGACTAAGTGATATGTTTTGTAATACTTCAAAATTATTTTAAGCATGTGTCCTTTTTAGCTCTGTAATTAATATAAAATGGATCCTGATTGTCTTAGAAAATGTGTATTTCATAGAATTATTTAAAAATGAAACCTTAATAGCCCATTCTTTTAAGTATGTTAGCTAAATTTTAGGACTGTATCATATTCCAGAATATATGCAATAGTATTATCTCAGCACATTACTACATTTTAAGGAATAAAAATATTAAGAAGTATAATTTTGGCATATGACATAATAAGAATATTGCCATAAATTTGACTTATTTGTGAAAAATTCTCACAATTGCTAGCATGTCAAATAATAAAAGAAACACCACACATCTGATACAAGCTGTTAAGTGCAAAATACTGTGTTAGTAACTTAGCTCTCTGGAAGGCAAATGTTAAGTCCAGATGCCTCTTCCCTAGTTTATTTTATTCCTAGAGTCCATTTATTGCATGTTGTTATTATGTTCCAAAGTAAACAAGCCATATTAAGTCCAGGTCTTGTCTCCAAAGAAATAAAAAATGACAGTGATAGCATTTGGCTGGACAATAACTAAAACTGGACAAAGATCTTCTTTCTTACTGGAGACTGACAGTGTTTTAGTTGTGTTTAAAATTTGTGATTCTCAAGCTAATAAAAACCTATGGAACAATTAATTTAAAAACCTATGGAACACATGGGATTGTCATTTTTTGTTCAGAGGCAATGATACTACAAAAGAACAAAAAGTCTCAAGCATTTCTTCCAGCAGACAACCCCACTTAGTGTAATACTGACAATGTTCATCTCAAGGACCTCAAAGGGGCACAGCCAATACTTCTTTTTGCTGCCAGTTTGCTAAAGTGGTTTCATATTCACTAGGAAGAACTTGTCAATGGGTGATGCTCAGGATCCTGAAGAATGGATGTGAGGTTTCTGTGCCAAGACTCTGGCATATTTGTGTAAGATCTGTGTGAAGTCTGTGGGGCAGTAAGAAGTATCTCTATGATGTCTCTGTGAGGCCACATGCGGTCCCTGTGTATTGTCTCTGGGTGAGGTCTGTGTTAGAGGTATGTTTGGGAAGTCTCTGAAATTGGTGTGATGGTCTTAGTATGAGGTCTCTAGAGGCCTCTGTGGAAAGTATCTGTGAGAGATGTCTGCTGGGAGGTGTCTGTGTGAGATCTCTGTTGCCTCGGTTGGGAGTGTCTCTGTGGAGAGTGTCTCTGTGATGTCTCTGCTTCCATGTGAGAGGTCTTTGTTGGAAAGTGTGAAGTATCTTTATGTTGGAAGATGTCTCTGTGTGTCATCTCTGTGGGAGAGGTTTCTGTGGAGAGGTCTCTCTGTGAGGCCTTTGTGTGATTGTCTGTTGGGAGGTGTTTCTGTGTGAGAGGTCCTTGTGTGGGTCTCTCCATTGGCCTTCCTGCACCTTATAGAAGACTGAGAGCAGCATCACATGGGCAAAGGGACTTGCTCCTTTCTGTTTTTTTGTTTTGTCAGTGTCCTAGTCAGTCTGTGGCACTTCTGAAAGGAGCATGCGATCTATGTCCAGCTTTCCCTACTCCTAGAACTCAGCTCTTTGTGTTTCTGAGAGCACCCAGCAGCAGCCAGGCTCAAGGTCCCTGCTCTGTGACACCCTCTTCTGAGCTCCTGGGGGCCCAGGGCATTCCCTGCCCTGAGTCCCACCCTTCCCATAGGTCCTGGCTGAGCTGTCACTGCTGCACTCACCCTCAGAGTCACTCTAGAGAAATTGCTCCTGTCTCCCTGATTCCTGTGTTTGGTGGGGCAGGGGGTGGGGAGGAGCAAGCTGCACGAGGAGCAACATACAAAGGGACTACTCCTGGACTGCACCTTCACTGTGGGCGGTTCATTTCTACCTTCCTGAGTGACAAGTCCTGTCTGATGCCCTCTTCTACCTGGCTCTGGATTAAGTAAGACTGGAGCCAGTTAAGACTTACAATGTGGTAGCTGGCTAGTCTCTCAGCATTTTATGTCTCCATATCTCCCATGGAGCAGTCCTTTTTTAAAAAATATATTTTATTGATTATGCTATTACAGTTGTCCCATTTCCCCCCTTCACTTCCCTCCACCCTTCACATTCTCTCCCACCCACATTCCCTTTAGTTCATGTCCATGTGTCATACTTATAACTTCTATAGCTTCTGCATTTCTCATACTATTCTTGCCCCCCCTGTCTATTTTCTACCTATCATTTATGCTACTTATTCTCTGTACCTTTTCTCCCTTTCTCCTTCTCCCACTCCCCTGTTGCTAACCCTTCATGTGATCTCCATTTCTGTGTTTCTGTTCCTGTTCTAGTTGTTTGCTTAGTTTGTTTTTGGTTTTGTTTTAGGTGTGGTTGTTAATTATTGTGAGTTTGCTGTCATTTTACTGTACATGTTTTTTATCTTCTTTTTCCTAGATAAGTCCCTTTAACATTTCATATAATAAGGGCTTGGTGATGATGAACTCCTTTAACTTGACCTTATCTGAGAAGCACTTTATCTGCCCTTCCATTCTAAATGAAAACTTTTCTGGATAGAGAAATCTTGGATGTAGGTCTTTGTCTTTCATGACTTGGAATTCTTCTTTCCAGCCCCTTCTTGCCTGCAAGATCTCTTTTGAGAAATCATCTGATGGGAACTCCTTTGTAGGTTACTGTCTCCTTGTCTCTTGCTGCTTCTAGGATTCTCTCCTTCATTTTAACCTTGGGTAATGTAATGATGATGTACCTTGGTGTGTTTCTCCTTGGGTCCAACTTCCTTGGGACTCTCTGGGCTTCCTGAACTTCCTGGAAGTCTATTTCCTTTGCCAGATTGGGGAAATTTTCCGTCAGTATTTGTTCAAATAAGTTTTCAATTTCTTACTGCTGTTCTTCTCCTTCTGGTACCCCTATAATTCAGATATTGGAACATTTCAGGTTGTCCCAGAGGTTCCTCAGCCTCTCTTCATTTTTTTAGATTCTTGTTTCTTCGTTCTGTTCCAGTTGGATGTTTATTTCTTCCTTTTGTTCCAAATTGTTGATTTGAGTCCTGGTTTCCTCCCTGTCACTGTTGGTTCCCTGAATATTTTGCTTTATTTCATTTTGGGTATCTTTCATTTGTTCTTTCATTTTTCAACCAAGCTCAATCAGTTCTGTGAGCATTTTGACTACCAGGGCTTTAAACTCTCCATCACATAGGTTGGTTATCTCCTCATCACCTTATTCTCTTTCTAGAGTTTTGCTTCGTTCTTTTATTTGGGCCATATTTCTTTGTCTTGGTGCAGCTGATAAGTTGTAAGGGAGGTATTCATCAGGGGAAGGCAACCCTCCTTGGTGCACTGTGGCACTGCCTGTGGGGGAGGGGCCAGAGACGGAACAATGCAGCTCACCTGCTTGTCTCTAGCCCACTTTCCAATGAACTCTCATATGAGATGGATTTCCTCCCACCACAGCAACAGCCACTATAGTCCACAGCCAGCTCTGAGTCTCAGTTTCCTCTTCAGTCAGCCATGCCCTCACAATCCTCCACCTCACTGGG